AAGCACAATGCTAAGCACCGGCCAGATATTCACTTCCTTATTACAATTATAGTATACTGGGCCCCAAAACCCTATTGAAACTATTAAGGCCCCTACATTCTAGAACCCCTTACAGTAACTCTTACAGGACCCCTTTAAAGGAAACCCTATTCTAGCTCTTAAGGCCCCTATATTATTAACCCTAAACCCTAAACCCTTGAAACTATTAAGGCCCCTTTCTTAACTTACATGGCTGGCAGGTGACTCTTCGACCCTGGCCCTGCCTGGTTGACTTCAAGGAGCCTAGCGGGTTTAGGGTTTTAGGGTTTTGGGGTTTTGGGGTTTAGGGTTTAGGGTTTAGGGGTTTGGGGTTTTGGGGTTTCGGGTTTAGGGGTTTTGGGGTTTAGGGTTTTGGGGTTTACGGGTTTTGGGGTTTTGGGCTTAGGGGCCTAGCATTATACAGAATCGATTCGGGGTTTAGGGTTTTGATTAGTTGGTAGTAGGGAGACCCCTTAAAGGAAGCCCTTCTTGAACCTTACTTATGGTTCTCTTACAAGGGACCTTGTTGAGAGGGTATATCCCCAAGGGTCCGTTAATCTTTAATCCTAACTCCCAGGGTTTAGGGTTTAGGGCTAGCTAGGGGCTTAATGTTAAGATTTAGGGTAAGATGCATGGTGTAGGCCAGCGTTACAGTTTGGCGGTTTTGCCCCCAGGCAACTGGTGAGCCTGCTTTGGTCATCACACAACCTGGACCCTATAAGCCTACCTTTTTAGGAATCCTTATTATGATATCTTCAGGTTAAGGAAGTTCTTGCTGCTGTGGTCATCATCCCAACACTGAAGCCAGTGCCTTCCACGAAAGGGCAAGAAGCTGGGGAAACCCCATACCCGCTGCAAAATTCCTTGGCACTCAGGATTGCAATGCCTCCATCCAGCCTTGCAGAACCTAAAGTTCCAAAAGCCAAGGCCCAAGGCTAAAAGCGCTAATCATTCTCAGAAGCCCTCTTCTCGAACCGCAAGCCCCAGATCCCTAAGATCTGTAGGTGGCGAGTCGGTGAAGAGTTTGGCGAGGATTGCATGGCCCCTCCCCGGGCATGTATCTACGAAAATCGTATCGCAAGAGTATGGCTGTACAACCGTGCAGCCTCCAAATATCTACCCTAAACCCTAAACCCTAAACCCTAAACCCTAAACCCTAAACCGTGATCCCCAAAGCCTCTAAACCCTTTAACTCCAGATCTTGGGGCCGCAAAGCGAAACATCCCTTGCCGTACCAATGCTATTTTGGGGTTTTTTCAATGGAACTCTAGTATAATATACCACAAAACCCTATTCTACTTATGGAGGCCGCTATATGAAATCCGTACAGAACCCCTCAGCTAACCTGTGTAGGACCCCTTCAACGAATCCTACTGTAATTAGCGAGGTCCCTATATTAGCTTGCAGTTCGTCGCAGTTGCTCCAGTCCAAACAGCCTTGGACCTTCTCAGCTTTCGGGCCTTTAGGGTCTAGGGCTTGTTGGAACCCTAAACCCTAAACCCTAATTGAAGGGCTCGTCCTTGCTAGGTGCGAGGGGAAGAAATAGGGTTTAGCAAGTTTAGGGGGTTATCGGAACCCTAATTTGCGAAACCCTAAACCCTATAGAGTTGAATTAAGTTTTGGTGAGTGATTGCTTTGGAGCTGCGGGGTCTTCGGGCTCAGGTTTTAGGGTGTAGACTTCTCGGAGTGTCCCACTGAGCAGCGGATCTTCTCCTGAAGAACTAACCCACTAGACACTAAACAGGGTTTAGGGTTTAGGGAATTTATACCCTAAAAACTAAAAACCCTAAACCTTAAATTTAAAAGTTTGGAGCGCCGAGGCCTCAAAACATAAACCTTAAATCCTAAATCCTAAACCTGTGAAAGATATATATATAATCGGGGTCCCTAAACCCTAATCCCTAAACCGACTAGGATGGCGACTGGCCACATGCGAGGGCGATCTTCATCGGCATCCACCGCCAGCGGATGGAGGCCTCTTTGAACCCGTTCCGTGGTTTATAGGGCTTTTAGGGTTTAGGGTTTTAGGGCTCAGGGTTTTTAGGGATTCTTTAGGGTTTGAGGGTTCATTCAGAGCTTTCTTTCTGACTTTAGGACCTCATTCGCGGTTTAGATTAGACTTTTGGAGTGCGGTTTTTCTGGCGCTGTACTTGCCAAATATCCCCTAGACACTCGTGGCTTTTATGTACAGCCGAAGCCGTGTCCTAGTTATATACCCTGAAAGTAAGCCCTAAACTTTAGTAATCTCAGATCGCAATCCCAGATCTGTTGTTGCAGGGGGAGGATGCGGCAGCCAAGCAGGTCATCGACTTCCGAGAGATCATGGCCACTTGGGCGCAGTTGTGTGTCAGTTTTCTCTTTGGAGGTCAGGGTTGACAATGTAGGGACCTTAATAATTAGAATAGGGTTTGGGGCCCATTATAACATAAGTGTAATAATGAATCCCCAAAATGGTATAGGTAATTACTGAGGCCCCTATACTACGAGGTCTTTCGAAGCAAGGTTGGATTCGTAAGGTCACTGCAACATGGACGCTAGGATTGAGTCGATTACATTCGAGCATGCTTATCAATCTCCGAAGCTGATGCATAAAACCCTAAACCCTACAACCTAAACCCTAAGCCCTAAGCTGCAGTTTTGCTGGAACGATGGCTCTGAAATGTGCATCTTGTCAGACGCGGCATTTCTGACAGGCGCTAAGGGGTGCTGGTATCTGACTTGCTTCAATGCGGCCCTGAGTATGTTTGTTTGGTAAGTTCGTTGCTTTTCGTTTGTTGCACTTAGCTTCAGGGTGCTCCGCTATGGAAGTACAGTAATATAGAAGCCTGAATAATTTCCAATATTATTCCTGCGGGTTCCTTATTGGAAAAATAAAGTACTATAAAGGAGCCCGAAACCCTATTCTAATCATTAAGGACCCTACATTATGTGACAGGAAGAGAAGTGGCAAACGAGATTGAGCGCGGAACGGTAGTGACAACCCCAAACTCGAGCCGGTGAGTCTGGGTCCTTGCAGCGAAAACGTGACAACATCCCTCGAGCTCCAAGCTTTGTGTTGGGGGTTTAGGGTTTATGGTATAGGGTCCAGGGCTCTTGCCGTAAGAGGGGATGAGAGTTTCATAGGCGCTGGCCGGCACCTGAGTCCATGCTGAAAGAATTGTTTTATTGTTGTTGTTCCTCCTGCTTCGCTGACCAAGGGCTTTAGGGTTGAGGGTGTTTAGCCTGACGGCTTCTTGGGGTCTGCGGAGTTCCTTGACGATGGTAGGCCACAGCCACGACAAGAAAAGTCCGGCGTGGTTTGATTGTAGATGGGGGTTTCCGAAAATAGGGGGTACCTTATTTTGGGGTCCTTTTAATAGGGATCCTATTTTTTGGGGTACTATATTACAGGGTCCTTTATTTTGGGGAACCTTTAGATGCTGACCCTTCTCTGTCACACCTACACGATCTGAGGCCACGCCACAGGATCGACATACATGCATGTGTATATAAACACACACATACACATGCCTCTTCTCTTTCACACCTACACTGCCTGAGGCCACACCACGGGGTCTATCTAGTCATTTGTCTACGTCTGTGTGTATGTGTGTACGCGTGTATGTGTATGTGTCGTAGTTTTTGTATGTATGCATGTATATATACATATTATATTCATATACGTACAAATATCAGCAATACATAGTAAGAGAAGACCGCCGAGTCTCTCTGGAATCTGAACCCCAAAGGCCTCAAACCTGAAATAGAAGACCCAAACTTAGTGGTTTCGGCACATTATTATACATACTATACAACACACCCCAAGTCCTAATCCTAAACATTGGGGTTCTACTTTCTAGATCCTTCCGCGGGTCTGGGTTGCCCTAAATCCGGAACCCTAAGCCCTCAGAGGTGAAGTTCTTGGTCAAGATCAGCGCATGGCCCGAGGCCGAACGCTACGAGAACCAGCTCCCCGGCAGCTCCAAAATATACTAGACCATGCCGTACCTCACCTTCCTACATGATGCTACACTAATACTAGAATGTCCGGCCGTCTGTTGTGTGCCCTTGCGTAGCGAGACCTTTGAGAATGGAACGGCAGAGAGAGAGAGAGAGAGTGTACTAGACTTTCCTGTATTCAGCAGGGTTGTCTTTTTCAGTGGTCATGGTTAGCATTGTTGTGTGCTTGGCCGGAGCCTCGGAGGCGAACGAGACCTGCGTAGTGAAATGTCAAGGTAGAAGTAGCCGCGACATCCAGCCTGTTCGTGCCGGCATGTAGGTTCTTCGTCCCAGATGGTATTGTACTGTTTGCTGTTTTGGTATGTCGGGGGACGTGAATGCTACTTCAAGTCTCACTTTCAACTGAGTTTCGCCGACGAAGCTGTGCCCTGCAAGCTGTAGTTTGTTCTACTCGCGTTTGTACCGCTGTTTTGAGAACAGGGACAGCCTGGCGGTACTGTCTTGAGCTTCCCACACATTTGCGAAGTCGTTTTCCGAAGCTAGGTTTATGTACCATCCTTCTCGATATGATGTTGGCTGTCACCGTACAAGAGGGAACACGCACATGTGTAATGACGTCCACACTTCAACATATCATGCCGGGGGAAATCAACCCTGTTGATAACTGTTGTAGCTTGCCAGGTTTTTGTTGTGCAATCTCCCCGGCATGAAACGGGTACTTCACAAATAGGTGTCCCAAAGTTACAGCAAGTGGAACATTGGAAACTGTCTACTGTCATCACTTTGTCTACATAGCTTGTACACTATAACAACAGTTTCCTAAGACCCGATGTCCAACCTGCTTTTTCTCACGTCCCCTCAAAGCCCGCTAACGCATGGGGCGGCCAACTGGCGGGAGGACTTCAACAGTCGTCCAAGCCCAGTGGGAGAAAACCTTGACTGGCTGGAGTATACTACACTATTGCCATGGCAAACTATAGTCTAGAGTATATACGGTACTAGTACTATAGTATATTATAGCATAGTACAAAATTCAGGTTTCGAGAAAAGGAGGCGTAGTAATTTTGAGACTTGTGTGTTCTTAGTGATTTGTTTTTGTTGGTTCGCCATTTTGGGCTTTTGGCTTTTGTGATTTCCTGGATTTTGGCTTCCTGAATTTCTGGCTGCTTGGCTTCTCGATTTGTGTTTGACTTTGTGCTATTTCGACTGTTGGCATCGTGGCTTTTTACGGTTTCCTAGCTCTGTAATCGTAGTATCCTGACTTCTTCCCGGCTGGGTTTTCTTAATTCCTGGCCTCTCGGCTGCCTGGATTCTTGACCTTCTAGCTTCTTAGCTTATTTGTTGCTAGGACTTGTACATGCATCAGACGAACCTGTATAAACAGCATCAATCAAATGACGAAGGCAAACTTAAAACATAAATCCAGACAGAGAGCGAGAGAGAGGGAGAGAGAGAGCGCCAAAGCAAGACAGAGAGACACACGAGACAAAATTAACAACGGAAAGACCGGGTACAGAAGGAAAGAGAGGAAGATGGAAAGACGCACGGAAGTAACAATAGCAGCAGCAGCAGCAGGAGGAGCAGGAGGAGAAGTAGTAGCCAGTGGCAAGTATGAGTAGCAGCAGTAGTAGTAGTAGTAGTAGTTGGCGCTCCCCCTACCAACTACACTTCGTCTAAACCATCTTAAGAGCACATCCGTTTTGCTCGGCATTTACAGCACTTTCGTCATGTACGATCATCAAAAGAAGCCTCAAGATCGACTTGCCGAGTTTGCAAACTCGGCCTGTTGATTTCGGACTTGCTTCTGGGGGGGGGGGGGGGGTGGGGGGGGTGGGGT